AAGTAAAAAGATTACAGCCCAAGAAGGCAGAGTAAAAAAGATATGACAATATCCGGTGGAGAGACGCAGACGTATTTCTGAAAGAAATCTATTAGAAAGCCCAGAATTGTTTGTCTATTCCTCATTAATCTTCTACAATGTTAGACATTTAATACGATTGGTGAAAGTGGTTTTTTCAAAACCAGATATGTAATCATTTCATAAAAGGCAGAGTGGCTTCTAAGAAAACGTAGGGAATTGAAAGCTTCTTGTACATTTTCATTTTAATATTTTAATCAAGATAAAATACTACAGTTTTAGAAAACCTATGCGTTTATTCGTGAAGTCTGTGAAATTTTAAAGAAAAGCATTTGAGGCCAGTGATATTGCCATAAAATTGTTATCCTTTCTAACACGTCCTCTCCTAGTTTTCTCCCTCTCTGGACATTTCAGACCTCCTTTTTAGAGATGTACAGGTTCTTCTCTGCAGATCCGGAGGACACCATTCTTATGGCCTGCAAGGTGACTGAACTGAAGTTGTACAACATGGCAGCCATGATGAAAAGCTGGACTCCATTTTTCCTGCTACTGAGACCGAAAGCTTCAGTGGCGTTGTTGACTCTCCTTTCCCTCACTCCCTTTAAATCCACGGCATGTCTTGATAGCAGTACCTTCACACTTCATCCAGGGGCCATCTTCCTGTCACTTCCACCTCCTATGCTCACTGCTCTAGCATAGTCTAAAACACCCGTCTCTTATCTGGACAACTCTCATACCCTCCTAAGTAGTTTCTCTGTCTACGCTTGCCCCCTACATTCTTGATCACACAGCAGCCAGTGTGATCTTTTTCAGATGTCATGGAATGTCCTTCTACTGTTCCAAACCCTTTAAACCTTCCCCATACGACTTGGAATAAAATCCAAAGTCATTGCCATGGCTGCAGGGAATGCGTGCTCCCTACCATCTGCCCCCACTAACTCCCAGCAACTTTGACACTCTTATTTATTCCTTCTGGTCCAATGATAACGTTTTAATTCCTAAAAGACACCAAGACAATTCAACCAAGGCCTTTGCATGCACTGGTCCCTCTACTCAGAGCTGTTCCTCAAATATCCTCATAGCAGGCTTACTACAGAAAAGTCACCTTACTTTCTGTGACTCCTTCTCTCAAAGAGGCCCCTATCCCTTTCTATCTCTTTACCATGTTTTAGTTTCCTCTTTAGCACTTACCACCACCTAGCATGCTATATTTTTTGTATCCACTAGTTTTAATGTCGGCCTCCACCCTCTAGAAGGTAAAGCTCTATGAAGGCACAGTCTTTGATTTGTTCTCTTCCGTAATTCCAGTGCCTACAATAATACAGAGAAAATGTTCAGTTAATATCTGATAAATGAGCGAATGAATTCTTCCTATCTTATCTTATCCAATAGCATGGAGAGTGTATATGCCTTTTGAGAAAGTAATTTATATGTAGTAGACATTATTCTCAGAAATTCATTTTCTATTTTATATTCCCACATTATATTAAGACTCAGCATAGAGATATGTATGGTATTAGTGGTTAGTCCTCAGAAGTCACTCTCCCATGAATAAGTAAATCTTAAAAAAATTGCAGCGAGTTAAAATGTTACCCTTAGAAGCAAAAGATGATTTCTACTTACCTCTGCTCTCTTTGTGTATAGGTGGAACATTTCACCCTTATAATTTTGGTTTGAATCATTGTTAACAATTTGCTTGTTGAAACTTGGAAAAGTCAAGATAATTCACTATAATGAAATCATTGAATTTGAGGCTGAAAGGATCCTTACAGGTCATCTATAACTTTCTTCCTAGAGGGTTGGCCAATTTATGATGTGATTATTTTCAGTGACAGAAAACTCTACGTTGTTAGGCTACCCATTTTGGTTTGGGGTAGATTTTCCTTAGGTTAAGCGAATCTGGATCTAGGTAATGTAACGTTGGTCTCTATTTTTGGAGTCTAGAGGAAAAGCAATAAACTGGAAAATAAAGGATATAAAAGAGTGAAAATAAGATGCAGAAAATTAAACTTTTCTACTGAAACAGTCCAATCTTTCAAGTTTAATTGTACCTAGAGGTGCAGATATTTATCTGATTCCCAGACCCCTAGGAGGAATAATACTACTTCATTCTATGTACAAACACCCAGAGAAGTTTGTATTGGCTAGTGAGTCTTTAATAGAGAATGTATTGGTTGGTATTGCTGTGTAACAAATCATCTCAAAATGCAGTGGCTTAGAACAACTCCATTTCTTATTTCTCACAAGATACCTTGGTGGTTCTACTGATCTGAGTTGGACCCTGCTGACTCAACTTGTCTCAGTCATGTGTAGGCTGTTAGCTGATGGATTGGCTAGGGGCTAGCTGGTCAAGGATGACCTCTGCTGGAAAGAAAACATTTTTCCACGTCTTTTGTGTATCTTTAGCAGACCAGCAGGGTACATTCTCATGTGCTGGCAGGGGTCCAAGAAAGGAGGTGGAAATGTGCAAACACTTTTTCAAGGCTCTCTTTTGCTTCAGGTTTGCTGTCATCTTCTTTTGCCTTATTATTGAGCCAGAGTCAGAGTGGAAGAGGACCACAGAGTGAAAAGGCAAAGAGTATGGATATAAGGAGGCCTTTGATTGAGGCCCTTATTGCCGGCCATCAATCCACCACAGATAAAAAGTGCAAGGAGGAGAGGCTTCGACTTAGAGACAAAATATAAAAGAAGGGAGTGAAAGGAAGGAAAAAGATGGAGAAAACATCAAAATGAAAGATGGCTAGGTAAGGGAAGAGATAAGGAAGACAGATAGAAGAGGTGAAGTAGATAACCTGAAGAGAAGGGAAAGCTGCTATACCGTGAGGTCTGCAGGAACCAAGATGTGTGACCTGGAAAACAAACTTTCGTATAAAAATATAAAATATTTATAAAAATAGAATAGTATTTTCCAATCGATAGCAAGATAAACTCAAGTTCTGCTGGAAGTATGGGAAAAGAAGAAATACAATCCATTACCACAGAATTGTCCGGTAAAATATTTCACATCTTGCAGAGGATAACTGCAGTCATAGATGTTGGAGAATGGAAGCAAGTGACAAATGCAAGTAGCAAAGCTTTCATACTTACTCCTAGGTAGGCATCTATTAATAGTGCTATTTAGGGGCCAGCCCGGTGGTGCAGCGGTTAAGTGAGCAGATTCCGCTTCGGCAGCCCGGGGTTCACCAGTTCGGATCCCAGCTGTGGACATGGCACCACTTGGCAAGCCATGCTGTGGTAGGCGTCCCACATATAAAGTAGAGAAAGACGGGCACGGATGTTAGCTCAGGGCCAGCCTTCCTCAGCAAAAAGGGGAGGATTGGCAGCAGTTAGCTTAGGGCTAACTTTCTCAAAAAAAAAAAAGAGTGCTATTTAAAAATTATGACTTTCTTATGAATTGGAAATTTTTTCTATGCTTTTCCTGTTCTTTTGTCTTTTCTTCTTTAACTGTAAGTCTGTCTTGAATATGAATTACTTTTATATTAGCACTCCTCAACATGTCATATGAAACTGGGTAATGGTATAATCCCCTCTCAGAAATAGATTACATATATTGATACTGAATATATGATGGCTTAGTAAGCACTAAATAAAGTATATCAGAGTTTCATTTAGTAAATGAACTTTTTGGGGCAGAAATTTTGGTTTTGCTTTGTTTGTTTCTGTTGTCCAAATATCAGAATACTTCTTAATGCTGGTTACAAACTGGAGATACTGATGTAAAATTGGCAATACCTTAACATTGTTTAAGAGAGGACTGATTTAGTACATAAAGGGAAAATGCCATCTTCCATTTACTTGCTTCGAGATAATTCTACAAACTTCAGAAACATTAAAATTTGCTCTTAATTGGTCAATTTCAACAAAATAGCCCTTTTACAATTTTATGATGTCACGGGCAAAAATAAGGAGTACAGCCCTTATTATATCTTCTCTCCAGGTTATTCTCCTTTCTTCTTATCACTCTGTTGTTTGTTATGGTTGAAATAACAAATGTTTGATCTGATATGTTCTTTAAATGAATTACCCACAGATGGCCCACTGTCCGCTTATTCTACCTACAGCTTATTCTACTTACAGATCTGTTTATTCTACCTATCTTTTTGTTTCTTGTCCATTTATTTATTGAAGATGGTTTCATTCCCATTTTTAATTCTATAAAACTGAGACTAAAGATAGTAATCATACTTCCAATGACTCTTTTCTAAATCTAGCAAAATTGGCTCCAAGAGTTTGTCTCATTTTTAACTATTGTATCATGTTTAAAATATTCCCAATGTGTCCTAATTTTTTTAACTGTAAATACAAGAAGTGTCTATCATATTCAGATTTTGGTTCCATTGAGTTTCCAATTTAGGAAATCTGACCTTGAGATGACTTATAATAATTCATAAATTTTTCCATGAGTTTCAACTAGCATGGAGAAGTCAGACGTCCATTAACAATTGACCAATTAACTATATATTAATCAACAATTTCATTGATAAGTAGGTATTTAGCAGTGCACTTATTTGTCATTCTTTAGGTTTTATATCTGTAAGACTACTTGTAAACAAGGATTTTTAAAAACTATGAAAATAAATGCATCATAAAGTCTTTTTAGACAACAAATAATGTAAGAAGAATCTCTATTCCTGAAATGGTATCCAGCAATAAATGCATTCATGGTGTGTCTATATGTGTGATAAGTTTTCAGCATCCAGCATCAGTTAGGTTCTCTGAGAATCTATTACTCTCAGCATCAAGTAGCCATCTGTAGGACCAGGAACTCTCTTGTCACTGTAACCCACCAAATAGCACTAAACAGATGTTATGTTTACGTACTATACGTCTTTCTTCTTTAATATTTCCTGCTCTCTCTCTCTCTCTGGTCCTTCATCTCCATCACCTGATTTTACCCATTAAACGAGATGATCCCACTCGTCGCCCTGACCCCTGAGTGAAATTCAAACCTAACACATGGCAACCTGCTTTTTCTTTTCCAGATTCCTGTCTTGGTCACACAGATAAGTTCGACCAATCACCCAGTGAAAGTGGGGCTGTCTGATGCATTTGTCGTTGTCCACAGGATCCAACATATTCCCAGTATGTAGAAGAAGGGTAATCGCAATGTATGAGCCTGGTGTGGGGGTAAATTTAAAAGAGATTGATCTCAGGCAGATGTAATTCTTTGAGCAAGGAATCACTTAGCTAATTGCTGCTTGTTAATTATGCTGTTGGGTTTATAACTCTTATTGGCATTGGCAATCTCTCTGTTAATATTTTTGATAAAGTGCAGTTAAATAGCCAAGCCAAGAGTGTGTAATTTTAGATTTTTTGGGATAGTTAGCTTGGTGGTGTAGGTATATTTCTTTTATTAAGAGTAAGAAGAACATTAATAAGTGACAGATTATTTCACTGATAGGTATGACTTTTGTTTGTTTTGTTTAAATACATTTACCAGCAAAAGAGAAGAATTGTGGATTTTATTGTTCAACATGTTTGTATAAAACTGAAAGTCTAAAGGAAGATGAAAGAAAAAGTATAAATTGAGGTGAAAAAAATTTTGGTGGAACTGTACCTACCAGAGAACATATGTATCTTCTTTGTTTAAATCATTTTTGCCATCTAGTCTAGTTTAAATTTGTGGAATAAAATCATATGTGTTACTTTGGGCAGCTGTTCATCAGATTAGAAATTCAAAATGTAACTGCTATTCATAGTAGTTCCGATCATGTAAATGTTGCCATTATTTGAAAGTTTCTGTGTTTTAAACCTCCTCTGCTTCCAGAACAGTCCTGAGGGGCACTTGGGTGTGTTAGTACTGAAGTTGTTTGTGTCCTAGACCTGCAAGAAGTGACAGTAAAATACAACTCAAGATTAGATCATTTCTTTCCCTTTTATTCAGAGTTCTTTTTCTTCTTTTATTTCATTATACTGGTAGATAATTTATCACATGCGTATGCTATTTGGTCTTGACTTGAGCTAATTCTGTTTAATTATGCCATCTCTCATATATAGACAGTAAATGGAGTGGAAATTATTTAGACTTTCAGAGCGAAAGATTGACTGGAAACATTATACAGGTTATCTTACAACTATGGTTTACAATGATATTCAGTGTGGCAGTTCCGTTTGGTGAAGAGCATGAATCTTCCATGGCGGTGTCTCCCTGTTAGCTGAAAATTTGTGGGAGGTAAGATTCAAGGGGACTGTCAAATCAAGGCGGATTTTCCAGAAATGAAATTGTGCCGTGAACAAAACAAGGATATATTAGCATGTACAGGCAACATAAAGACATCTTGACGGAACTCTTAAATAAGAAGCTTGGTCTTGGGGGAGCCAAAGTTGTCTCTTATTTGAGGAGGAAGGAGTATTCTTGCATTCTTTCTTTCAGAGACGTTAAATCAAGCATGACTTGAGTCAATTATTGAACAAGTAAAAGGAAATACTAGTTTATTTGTGGGTTCCTTTCATCCCAGAAAGAATTTTATTTGCAGCTTCCTCAGAAAGCATCCTGGTCCGCGTCAATGTTCTGATATTTTATTGTTTAGAGAAAAAGACCCACCAAAGTACAAAAGAAAAAATTTTTTCAGATGTATTTTAATATTCTAGTATTGTGTGAGAACTTAGGCCTGAAAAAATTGTACTTAGACTTCAGAATCCCAAAATGCAATTTTGCATCTGTTGTTATATTACAAGAGGGTAACCATTATGTTTAGGAGGAAAAATAGCCTTCCCAAACATAAATTTCATTGAATAAATTGGTAAAATTCATATGAATTTTGAGGGGCTGGCCAGTGCAGCGGTTAAGTTCGCACCTTCCTCTTAGGAGGCCTGGGGCTCACCGGTTCGGATCCCAGGTGCGGACCCACACGCTGCTTGTCCAGCCAGGCTGTGGCAGGCATCTCACATATAAAGCAGAGGAAGATGGGCATGGATGTTAGCTCAGGGCCAGTCTTCCTCAGCAAAAAGAGGAGAATTGGCAGCAGATGTTAGTTCAGGGCTAATCTTCTCAAAAAAAAATTAAAAATTCATATGAATTTTGAGAACAGATTATGTCTAAAGTTAGGAACTCAGCATTCATCTAAAAAACTTGCTCAAGCTTGGAGTTCAGGGAAGAGCTTCTCTCAGGCAAGCTGCATGCTGGAATGACATTCACAATTCGTGTTGACCTCACTGTTCCATCCTGAGAAAATTAGCCAAGAAGCAATGGAAGTTCTGAGTTTCTAACCACTCATTCCTGCCATTGGACGAGACTACATTTCAGCAAGAAAATTGGAATTGATGTGTTCTACTTAAAAATCTTTTTCGGGACAGAAAAATTTAAATCTCCTTAAAAATCTGTTCCCACATTTATAAAACGTAACAGTGTCTGTTACATGAGCTTCTGTATAAGAGGAGAGATTGCATTGTATTCTCAGCTAAAAGAAAAAAAAGAAAGCATACTTAGTTATGCCAGAAATTAGGCTAAGAAGAGGTTAGCATGATATAAGTTATACAAGGATTGTCTTTTCCTTAGAAATAAGATGATTCCTAGAGATCTGTATGTTATTTGTGCAATCAGAATTTAGGTAAATATTTAAGTCCTTTTCAAAATTATGCTTCCTTATTTTACACCTCTCATTATTAGGAGTCATCCTCATGGAATTTAAATCATTCATCTCTGTTACCCCTTTTTCTTCTCCTGAGTGAAATTAGGGAAAAACAGATCATTATCCTAAGTAATGAGTGGTTTCGTTTCTTCTGTATTCCAAGAAGCATTTACATAGGACCATGTTCTCATAAGATCAATTTTCTGTTCTTTTAAACATTTTGGTTACATGGGTTATAGAACCTAGATCCTCGGCTTAATCTAGCCGTGGCAACATGAGAATGTAAGCTACAACCTGGAGAATAATTTTTCCCAGTGGGACCACAGTGGCTATACCATTTTTATCAGATTTGCTGAAGGTTTGGTAAAGCATCTTTAAAAAGCTGTAAGGCAAGTTTAATTTATTATGAAGATTTCTTCCCACACTTTCATCATAACATCACTAAAATCTTGTTTTTCAGTTTTTAAATGCTTCCAAATAGTAAATAATTTCAAAATAATCTTCAAGCGTAGCTTATTAAGGTAGCTTTTGTCTTTCAAAAAAATTAGGTTATCTAATAGTTTAAAATATCAAAGGAAATTCAGGCATTGTTAGTAAATTAGTAAATAGTTCTGAGGTTACAAGGGAAATTCCTTTGCTCTTTCAAAAAACTGAAAAGAGTCCATGGTGAAATTGAAATTGACCCTTATATTTTTTTCATTTTTTTCTTCTTTTTTAAAAATTTTATTGCAGTAGCATTGGATTATAACATTATATAGCTTTCAGATGTGCATCGTAATATATTTTGAATTCTGTGTGGATTACATCATGTTCACCACCCAAAAGCTAATTATAGTCCATCACCTCACATATGAGCCTAATTACCCCTTTTGCTCTCTCCCTTTCTCCCTTCCCCTATGGTAACCACCAGTCCAATCTCCATTGCTATGTGTGTGTTTCTCATTGTTTTTATCTTCTGCTTATGAGTGAGATCATACAGTGTTTGACTTTCTCCCTCTGACTTATTTCACTTCACATAATACCCTCAAGGACCATCCAAGTCGTCACAAATGGCCGGATCTCATCATTTCTTATGGCTGAATAGTATTCCATTGTGTATATATGCCCCATCCTCTTTATCCATTCATCCCTTGATGGGCACCTAGGTTGCTTCCAAGTCTTGGCTATTGTGAATAATGCTGCAGTGAACATGGGGGTGCATGTATCTTTATGCATTTGTGTTTTCAAGTTCTTTGGATAAATACCCAGCAGTGGGATAGCTGGATCATATGGTAGATCTAGTCTTAATTTTCTGAGGATACTCCATACTGCTTTCCATAGTGGCTGCACCAGTTTGCACTCCCACCGGCAGTGAACAAGGGTTCCCTTCTCTCCATGTCCTCTCCAACACTTGTTTCCCATCTTGTTCATTACAGCCATTCTGACCGGAGTGAGGTGATACCTCATTGTAGTTTTGATTTGCATGTCCCTGATAGCTAATGATGTTGAGCATCCTTTCATATGCCTGTTGGCCATCCGTATATCTTCTTTGGAGAAATCTCTGTTCAGATCTTTTGCCCATTTTTTAATTGGGTTGTTGGTTTTTTTGTTGTTGAGACGTATGAGTTCTTTGTAGATTTTGGATATTAACCCCTATCTGACATATGGTTTGCAAATATCTTCTCCCAATTTTTAGGTTGTCTTTTCATTTTGTTGATGGTTTCCTTTGCTGTGAAGAAGGTTTTTAGTTTGATGTAGTCCCATTTGTTCATTTTTTCTTTTGTTTCCCTTGCCCGGTCAGACGTGGTCCTTGAAAATATGCTACTAAGACCGATGTCAAAGAGCGTACTGCCTATGTTTTCTTCTAGAAGTTTCATGGTTTCGGGTCTTACATTCAAGTCTTTAATCCATTTTGAGTTGATTCTTGTGCATGCTGTAAGTGAATGGTCTACTTTCATTCTTTTGCATGAGGCTGTCCAGTTTTCCCAACACCATTTATTGAATGGACTCTCCTTTCTCCATTGTATGCTCTTGTTGAATATTAGCTGTCCATAAATGTGTGGATTTATTTCTGGGCTCTTGATTCTGTTCCATTGATCTGTGTGTCTGTTTTTGTGCCAGTACCATGCTGTTTTTGTTTTGTAGTATATTTTGAATATATATAAATATATATACTATGGTTTTGTAGTATATTTTGAAATCAGGGAGTGTGAAACCTCCAGCTTTGTTCTTTTTTCTCAGGAATACTTTGGCTTTTCGGGGTCTTTTGTTGTTCCTATATAAATTTTAGGATTCTTTGTTCTATTTCTGTGAAAAATATTGTTGGAACTTTGATAGGGATTGTGTTGAATATATAGATTGATTTAGGAAGTATGGACATTTTAACTATGTTAATTCTTCCAATCCAAGAACACGGAATATCTTTCCATTTATTTGTGTCTTCTTCGATTTCTTTCGACAATGTTTTATAGTTTTTGGTGTACAGATCTTTCACCTCTTTCATTAGTTTATTCCTAGGTATTTTATTCTTTT